GGAGGAGGAGGAGGAGGAGGAGAAGGAGGAGGGAAGGAACCCGTTAGTAGAGCGTTCGAAGCGCGCGCGAGCTTCTATGGTCGCGTTCGACCGACGAGGAACGCGATATACATCGAGGGTTTGCCAGCACGCGCGAACGGGACAGGGAACAGAGACAAAACGGGAGAGAGACGGACAGAAAACGGGAGAAAGAGCGAGAGGAAGAAAGAGGGAGTGGATGTACGAGTGTACGAGCGCGTGTGTGTAAGAGAGAGAAAGAGAGAGAGAGAGAGGAGGCGAGGCAGAGTGCGCGCAAGGGGGACTCTCACTTTCACGCGGTGAACTGCGGGTGAACGTCCGGGAATTGGGTCAGAGTGTCCCCCACCTCGGCGAGCCAGAGGCAATGTGCCGAGGCTCTATGCTTTCTGTGCTAGAAAGAGCCAGTCCACAGCCAAGCTCCGATACAAACGGTCGCTTCTTTTTCCCCCGCCGAAAACTCGCGTCCCGAGTCTCGCGTGATACCGTGCAGGCGAACAGTTACGCTCGATTCACTGGTGAGTTTGGTGGTGTACGAGACGCGTGCATCGTTTTTCACGTCGTTTTCACATCGACAGCGGTTCAGTGAATCTGATCGAGCGAGACTCTCTGGGTAGCAGAGCATCTTGGACTTGCCCGTCGTTCGTTTCCGCGAGTTTCGTGATTCCACTAATCGCGCTATCAATAATAAAAGAAAAGAAGATAGAGGAGAACGAAGGAAAGGGAGATCTAGTGCGCGTGTTGAAAGGCACGCGAGTCGTTTGCGGGAGAAGGAACGTGTGAAACTGAGAGAACACAAATCTGTCCGGGTGAATTAATGGGGTGCTTGTGCGAATGTGACCTGGCCACCCCGCGTACGGGGACCAATTGCTCGTCGGGGTCCTCCTCGGATAGTGACGGTCAGACTGACGAAGGTTTCGTTGGTGATTCGCAGGGATTCTTCCGACGCAGCATTCAACAGAAGATCCAGTACCGGCCCTGCACTAAGAATCAACAGTGCAGCATCCTGCGTATCAACAGGAACCGCTGCCAGTATTGCCGCCTCAAGAAGTGCATCGCTGTCGGAATGAGTCGCGATGGTAAGTCTGTTTCTTCATATCTGTAACATAAGTCCCCTAAAATGTTCCTGTTCCTTCGAGAATGATTTCTCGAGAAAATTTCATCGTTGCGTGGAACATCGTTGGTTCGAACAACGTCGTGTGTACTAGACTCGATTTACTAGAGATGATTATCGTATTATTAAAACTACCAGATATCCTCTCTTTACCAAAGAACTCGCGATCTCGTAACACGCACATTTGTCCCAAAAAAATAGTTGTTAAAATCTAGAGTGACGGGTCGTTGACCGTTTGCGTAACGGCGCTACTCCCTACGACACAGCGCAAGTGTCGCAATGGGCGAAAGTGGCCAGTTCACCGTTCGAGAAAGCAATCGCAATTATATACCTTCCTCGAGGCCTGTCTCGCGATGAGCTTGCTTTCTTTCCGAAACATCGAAAAACACCCGATTCCGTCCGGTGACCTCTTTTCCTCGCTGCGAAACCGTGCGTAAGTAGATTCGGCCATCGACGCGCAGACCTAACCGAGGTCAACGACCTGGCAGCATCGGCAGCCCGCCACCGAGATGCATCTACTACCGTCTGATCTATAAACGTCCGTAATCTCCTTCGGGAATCGGACTCGATCGAAATATCCAGTCAGATTCTCGAATATTCTCTCAACGAATCGCGTGTATGTAAAATCGTATTCGCGCAGTTAATTCAATTATTCCCAATGGTCACGAACGTTGAATATTCTTCCCCCTCGAACGATCCGATCGAACGTCAAGTGCAGTTTATTCAGACTCAAGGGAGAGTCAAAGTTTGAGAAGCAAAAGTTCCCCGCTGATAGTCAGCGTGGACCGTGCCGCGGGGTCAATAGTCGGGCATTGCTCGGCTTACATGCGACTCCACGTCTATAGAAAGAGTACCGCTACTCGCCGCTACGTACCCGGTGACCCTTCCACCTCCTTCCACGCTTCCCCTACTTCTCCGCCAGCGCGTACGCTATCTCGATCATTCCCGCCTTCTCCTACTTCCCCACCTTCGTCCGAGTTCCTCCCACCGCGCGTCCCACAGCGACAACGCGCCGTCGCGTGGCGCTACGCTCCATGCGGAGACCTCGCGAACCTCGTCCCCTTCACGATCAGCCTTATCCCCGCCAAAGGAATGCGCGCCAACCTCCTGCCACTTCCCCTATCGCGGCCAAGCCACCTGGCTCTCGAGCGCATGCTCGTCTCGGGCAGTCCCGCCAAACTGATTTGCCCGACTTAAGCCGCCTGGCAATTTGCGTCCGGCGACTCGGCGAGGAACCTGCTCCCGCTCGACTCTCTGCTTGCATACATCTTCGATCAGTGACACAAGTTGTGACTGAATTTTTGCGCGTCTCCAGCGGAATCAATCAGATCAATTCCATTTACGCGGTACGGATGATACAATTCCAGCTAGCAATCGACATCGATCACCCTCGAGGGGGAGAGTACAGTTAGACGTCCGCGAATGATCTCCGTTCGCGGCGGAATAGTACCGTCATGATGTCCGACGATCCGGTGTCTGCAGCTGTCTAGCGGTGGAATTCGTACGTGACTCGAGCGAGACACGCGTTATGAATCGTGATCGCGATATGACCTCGTGATCGCCGGAAATCAACGAGCAAACATTAACTATCTGCACCATTCGTTCCCGAGTGAATTCCGGACACGCAGGCGTAAACAGACCGATCGGTAAACAGATAAAGAGAAATCGAAATTCAAACGATATTATCGCAGGAAGTTGATCCCGAATCGAATCGAAACGATGTGACGTACAACGACGAGACAGAGAAAGAGAGAGAGATATCGATCGTTCATGAACAGATAAGTCCAACGACGGCAGCTGGTGACAGGGCAAATAGCCAGCGAGCCGAGGGGTTGCCCAAGGTCGTCGAGGGTAGCTTACCCCCAGCAAAGGAAGTTTGCATCTGCGCACGCGAGACAGAGTCTCTCACTGCTCTGCCAACGAATTCTCTCTCTCTCTTTCTCTGTCTCTATCAGAATCCGCTCTTTGTCGCATGTTCACGCACGGACACAAAGGGGCGAGAAAGAAAGAAAGAAAGAGAGAACGCGTGTATATGACGTGCGTGCACGTATACATGGTTTCACACACACACACACACGTACACACACCCTCTCCTCTAGTGTGTGCTCCGCTGGCCGCTACGCTCTTCGCGTACATTCGCTCGCTATATAGTATATATAGGTCGGCGGTACGCCTCGTGCGGCTGTCGCTGAAACCAAGTTCAAGGCCAAAGGCTCGGCAAAGGCCACAATCGTGGCCAGTGGTGGGAGTCGTTGATGGCTGAATAAGTGGAGGGGCTGTTGAACGCAACCCGCGGACCATCACTCAGTCGGCTGTGATGCTGTCTCGCGTTTACACGCGTTCTACTGTCGCGGTTCTTTCTTGAACTCTCTGCTCGCCCCGTGTGCGAACCAGACAGCCGTGTGTGTCTGGCGGCGCGCCGTCCACGCCACGCCGCGCCACATAACACGATCCTCGTCGGAGTGACTCGCGGCAACCACCCGATAGTCAGCCGATAGTCAGCCATCGAACGGATTACGATCCATTCTAAAACAAAAAGAAAGAAAGAAAGAAAAATAGGAGGAGAAGATAGAAGAGGCGAAGGATAGAAAGAAGAGAAAGATAGATTTGCGATAATAGAGTCGCGCGTATGCCGTGCCCTGCGAATTCACGACCGCGAACGTCCACGTACAGTGATCGTGCCGATGGGAGGTTAATTTTGGTGCGCGGTGCAGTTCGCTCCGAGGCTAGACGCCGCAGACACGATTAAGGAATCGAGCGTTCCTCTCGATCGTTTCTCCTCGACCGTCATGGGAGACGAGTTACCCATACTGAAAGGAATCCTCAACGGAGTTGTCAACTATCACAATGCACGTAGGTGTTCACACACGCGGAAGAGGGCATCGTTTCTTCCATCGAACAGTGTGTTTGCCGAAATATCGTTGTTGTTTTCCTTTTTCTTTTTCTCTCGCCTCCCTTTCACGACCCTCCGCCCGTCGTCTCGCGACTTTCTAACGGAGGAAGGAGTTCGTAGCACGAGGCCAAGGCAGCCGCCACTTTCGTTTCTCGACGCGGCGAGAAAGTCGCGCGCTTTCCCCTCTCGATTCTTTTTCCCTCTTTCTTTACCTGTGTCGCACAGCCAACGAGACGTTTATCCTGCCTGTCTGAATTATAACGTTCGCAACCTCGTGCGTCGATCCCAACTACGCATGCGATATCTGGTGCGGTGATGTGCGAGACAAAGATCGAAATGTAAAATCAAAAAAAAAAAAAAGAAAAAAAAGAAATAAAAAAAGAAAAAGAAACAAAGATTATTCCACGAACCAATGGTGCTTCCCGTAACGTTGAACGAGTATAATAAGGAAACGCGAGGGTGTTTCACGGAAAAGAGACCGCGCACCAGTTTTCCTCGTAATCGCGCGTGCGAGTCAGAGGTGCTCGAAGGTCGCGGGACGCAGCCCGACGCGCCGTGTCCGTTGCATGATTCATCCATTGATCGCATTAACTATTCATCGACGTGTCCTTCCTTCTGCTTACCACTGACCAAACTGAACATCGTCTCGTTCGTCTGTCGCGCGTTTGATTCTCGCGTGTCTAACCGTTGGCCATCCGTGTTGTTTCTGCTTATAGCGGTGCGATTCGGCCGTGTGCCCAAGCGCGAGAAGGCCAGGATTCTGGCTGCTATGCAGCAAAGCTCCCACAGCCGTTCTCAAGAGAAGGCAGTAGCGGCCGAGCTGGAGGACGAGCAACGGCTTCTGGCTACTGTTGTGCAAGCACATCTCGATACATGCGACTTCACCAGGGACAAGGTGGCCCCGATCCTGGTCAGAGCTCGAGAGACGCCTAACTATACCGCCTGTCCGCCGACCTTGGTGAGTACATACACATACAGTTTTATATTCCTTCTCGTAAAGCATTCGTTCTCTGACATTTGTCTCGTTCTCTCTCTATGTTCTTTTTTTTATTATCTTCTTTTTTCTTCCTCTCTTTTTTTTTCTTTTTTTTTTTTTTTCTTGTCCGTGCTCGTTTTTAAAACTTTGCATTTCGGACGGTCGATCTTTATTACCGCTTGCGTCAACAGCGAACAGACCTTGGATCGTCCGAGACGCGTAGTCCGTTCTCTACGCGGAAATCGAACCAGTCGTCCTCGACCGAACGAGGAAGCCAATAGCTCCGATATTTCCTACAAGCGCGCATAGTGAAAAAGTTCGCAAGTTGGTAGTCGTCTAACCTGGAGTCGTTCGTTTGTTCGTGGTTACAGGCATGCCCCCTGAATCCGAATCCTCAACCGTTGACTGGCCAGCAAGAACTGTTGCAAGACTTCTCGAAGAGGTTCTCACCGGCGATCCGCGGTGTGGTGGAGTTCGCGAAACGCATTCCTGGCTTTAGCCTGCTGGCACAGGACGACCAGGTCACGCTGCTGAAGGCCGGCGTGTTCGAGGTGTTGCTGGTGCGGCTGGCCTGCATGTTCGACGCTCAAACGAACAGCATGATCTGCCTGAACGGGCAAGTGCTGAAACGGGAGTCCATCCACAATAGCAGTAACGCCCGGTTTCTCATGGACTCGATGTTCGACTTTGCCGAGAGGGTGAACTCCCTGCGGCTGTCGGACGCGGAACTGGGATTATTCTGTTCGGTGGTGGTGATCGCCGCGGATAGGCCAGGATTGCGCAACACCGAACTGGTCGAGCGTATGCACAACAAACTGCGAAACGCTCTTCAAACTGTTCTGGCACAGAACCATCCGCAACATCCCGACATCTTGAGAGAACTATTGAAGAAGATCCCGGACCTGAGAACGTTGAACACCCTCCACTCGGAGAAGCTGCTGGCCTTCAAGATGACGGAGCAACAACAACAAATGCAAGCTCAGCAACAGCATCAGCAGCAACAGCAGCAGCAACAGCAACAGCAGCAGCAGCAAACGCAGCACGTGATCAATGCTCAGCAACCGCAACAGCAACAACATTGGCCGATGGAGGAGGAACCACCGGCGTCTTGGGGCTCAGCCTCGGACGTGACCCTTGACGAAGCTGTAAAGAGCCCACTGGGCAGTGTGTCGAGCACCGAGAGCACCTGCAGCGGAGAAGTCGCCTCTCTGACGGAGTATCATCACGTAGCCCCGCCGAGTGGACATCACGCGTCCAGCGCTCCTCTTCTGGCTGCTACTCTGGCTGGTGGCCTCTGTCCTCATCGTCGTCGAGCAAACTCCGGGAGCACGAGCTCCGGCGACGACGAGCTATATCGCGCGTCACTCTCGAAGACGCCTCAACCACCTCAGTGTCCACGATTCCGCAAGCTAGACTCGCCGAGCGACAGCGGCATCGAATCGGGCACCGAGAAACCGGACAAACCAGCGAGCAGCAGCGCCAGCAGCGCACCGACCTCCGTCTGCTCGAGCCCCCGCTCCGAGGACAAGGAAGTGGAAGACATGCCGGTGCTGAAACGAGTGCTTCAAGCACCCCCGCTGTACGACACCAACTCTCTGATGGACGAGGCCTACAAGCCTCACAAGAAGTTCCGCGCGCTACGCCAGAAGGACAGCGCGGAAGCCGAGCCAGCGGTGATCGTGCAGCACACGCAGTCGCAGCTTCATCTCCACCTAACCTCGCCGCCGGCTCGAAGTCCGACGAATCAAGTGCAAGCTCAATGCCCCCAAACAGCGAGTCTGTTGAGCAGCACGCACTCGACGTTGGCCAGGAGCCTGATGGAGGGTCCGCGAATGACGGCCGAGCAGCTGAAGCGCACGGATATCATTCATAATTACATCATGCGCGGCGAAGCAAGTCCCAGATCGCCGACGGCGTCGCCCTCGCCGGCGGAGCAGTGCGCCTCCACGACTACGATCACCGCGCGTTCACCCCAAGGATCTCAAGGACTGCTGCAGTGCGCTACCAGCAGCTACTCGACGAGCAGGTGGCCAGCCACGTCGGTCATCACGACGACGACGGGCGCCCGGCAGCAGCAGCAGCAGCAACAGCAGCAACAACAACAGCAACAACAGCAGCAGCAGCAACAGTCTTCCTCGGACTACCTCATGGTCGGGAATTCGCCGGCCTCGTCGCCAAGGTACCTGTCCGCGGCGGCGACGAGTAGTACGAGCACGAGTCCACGGCCTGCCTCGAGTACGGCGGCGACGCTCGTCCTGTCCGGCTGTCCGAGCAACATGATGGAGCTACAGGTGGACATCGCGGACAGTCAGCAACCGTTGAATCTGTCGAAGAAGTCGCCGTCCCCGTCGCCGAGGCCGTTGGTAGGCCCATGCAAGGCGTTGTCTCTCGAGGCGTAGTGGTCTCGCGGGGTCGCGTGAGCGTGTCTCGTTGTTTGTGACGGACGACGGTAACCACCCTACTTCGCTGCAAACCTGCAAGGCAATTACGGGCGCTGGACAGACGGCCGCGTACGCGGATCGGCACTGAAGCCCACCTATTGAATGGAGCGACGTCACGGATGCACGGTGTGTTTCGTCGCGACGAATATAATGTTTTTGTTCTCCTTCTTTTTTTCTTTTTTTTTTCTTTTTTTTTCTTCTCTCATTTGGTACAACAATGGTGGTGTACAGTTGGTGTAGCGCGCACGCGCTCCACGCGTCGCTCCCCTCCCGAGACACGAACCATGCAAAAGTGCCAGGACGCTCAGCAGCGCGTGATAAACCAAATAATTTATTAATTTAAACTATTAAACTATCGATTTCGACGGGAAGGACGAAAGGAAGAAGGAACTGCGCGACGACACGCGTCAAGGGAGAGTATATAAATACGACAGGTGGCCAGGTGGCGGGAACCAGGTTCGAGTTCCGCCTCCCTGAGTTATGCGGACACTTGGTCGGTTTATACACGCAACAACGCATGCACGTTGCAAGGCGTGTCGGGCGCGATCAGGACAGACGGAGAACGAATTTTTGGGAGTGCAGAGTGCATGGGAGGACTGCTATCTGTTTTGGTTTGTCTCTCCGCTCTCCGAGAAAACGTGTCGCGATTATAATACCGTGGACCGTGGACGATCGATCGATCGAGTCACGGAGCGCATTCTCGGGAGAGTGATGCCTCGAGATGCGCGCCTCCGGCAACCAGGGGAAACACACACGGAGAGTAAAGCGTGCTTCTTT